ATACATTCTCAGACCCCATCTCAGACCCCACCTCAGACCTACAAAATCAGAAACCGTGGGGCTGGGGCCCAGCAGTCTGTATAAGCCCTGCAAGTGATTCTGACACATGCCAGAAGTTAAGAACCCCTGTTAGATAATGTTTGAAGATGAAGGCACAAACTCAAATGCATAAAAGGCCAGGGAGATGAAATAAAGGAAGCAAGCAGGTGTGATACACTGGACAACAGCAGGGCCAGTGGGCCAGTGCAGAGAGTGTGCCCAGCCTGACGGGGCCGGCAGCTGCTCAGCTCCAGCTAACTATGGCTAAGTATGAGCCCATGTGGATCTGGTACTGTCAGAGCTTCCGATTTTACAAGAGATTTTATGTGAAATCTCCAAATTTTTAAATGTCAATTTAATTTTTCTTAACATAGTGAGGGCCAAAAAGATTACACTTGAGAGCCAAATTCTGCCATGCACTGACATTTTGCAGCCTCCTTTGCAGTTGCCTTTGATCCCCTTCATGATGTCCTCCACTCACTGTGCCTTTGCCTTTCTCCAGACACTGAACTCACTTCCCCACCAGGGGACTCCTATTCATCCTTTAACACCCAACTCCAGACTCACCTCCGCTGTGAATTCATTCTCACTACCTCACTTTCTACTCCTCCACTAAGAAGGCAAAGAATCAAACATAAAACCAAAGAACTGACCTGCAGAAGAACTAACAGAGACATGAAGAAGCTGCAAAGCAGGCTTTTCCCACAAAGGAGGAATGAGGACCTCTTGAAAATCACCCTCTTGCTGCCTGAAAAATCACTTAAATAAGGACACTGATACCATTTGACCAGATTCTAATAAGATGAAGTTTTAAAAGGGCAAAGATAAAGAAACACAACTGCAGAATTCATAGGCTAGGTTAAAAAACGGTTGGTACAAAAACACCTGGGGGTTTTAGCTGACAGAGTTGAGTGTCAATCATGTGATAAGGCTGTCATCAAAAAGACAAATGCCCTCATAGGTCTGATTATTAGAAATAAAGTGTCTAGACAGCCCTGCTCTGCTCTGAGCTGGTTAGACCTCCTAGAATCTTCCGAATGGTTCTGAACATCAGAGATCTGTGGTACGACTCAGAGAGAGTGACCAAGGTGGGGAGAAAATCCAAAGCCAAATCACAGGGGAAACAATTAAAGGAACCTGGAATGTTTGTGCACAGGTAAGACGGGGTGGGTGGTCATGATTTCTGACTTCGGGCAACTAAAAGGTTTCCATATGGATTTCATCTATGTGACCCTCAAGGGATGACCAGGACCCATGAGTGGAAACACTGTAAGATTTCATTTCAGCACTGGGAAGATTTTCAATTGACCACAGTTGTCCCCAAATGGAATGGGCTATCGTGAGAGGCTGTGAATGTCCTCTCTTGAGGGACATCTAGCAGAGGGTGAGTAGCTGCTGTAGAGGATGATAAACGCATAGAATTGGGAGCCTAGCAGACACCTATTGTTATATTGCTCCCTTCTACTTGTAAGGGCACCCCAGTTCTTCTTGGGGAACCACTCCTCACCTGTTCTTGGTCCCATGAATCAGGTGGAGTTAAGTGAGCATCTGGCTTCGGGGATGGGTATGTTCCCCAGGCCTGGTCAGTCGGAGTGCTGCCTCTCCCTGGCCACACGTGCAGCTTCAGGTGTGTTCACGTGACCCATGCTGGGCCAATCAGAGCCTAGAAGACCCAATTCTGGGAAAAGGGACTTGAAGCAGGTAGGATATAATCCTGGAGCTGCCAAGGGCCACCTGGTCATCACATGAGGAGACACTATGAAGGAGCCCCTCACCTCCCCCCAAAAAAGGAAAACAGATACAAGTCTCTGATAACATCCTTTGTGTCCTGGAAGCCCCCCATGCCTAAAGCCATGCTCATCTATGCCAAGGGCCACCTGGTCATCACATGAGGAGACACTATGAAGGAGCCCCTCACCTCCCCCCCAAAAAGGAAAACAGATACAAGTCTCTGATAACATCCTTTGTGTCCTGGAAGCCCCCCATGCCTAAAGCCATGCTCATCTATGAAGAACTGGTAAGTTCTCTTTTTTCCTTAAAGTAGGTTGAGCTGGATTTCTTTTGTCTGCGACCATAAGAGTCCTGGTCACTAACAATGGCCTCTAAGATCTCATTCAGTTCCATTTTGCTAGGGCCGATCCACATCTCACATTTAAAGCAAGGGCCACCTGCACGGCTTCTGGAATTTGAAGTGCTGCCTCTAGTCTGAAGAACAGACTCTACTGGAAAGGGGGAAATGGAGAATCACGGCAAGGTAAGCCATTAAATTAGGGAGCACCCTGCATCAATGAGAAGCTGGCAGCCAGGACGGCTGCCCCAGGCTAAAGCCAAAAAAGGCACAAGCCGGAAGACAGGCACAGGATGGACACCTGGCCTGGAAGCCACTCCCGCCTCCTGCAGGCTCACTACAAGCATGACTTAGTGGGGCGGTCAAGGAACAGCCATCCTGAGCACTAGACCCCATCTCAGGCATGGGGAGGAGTTCTATTCTAGGAATCACTAGCCAGCTACCATTTAATGAGCAGCTACTGGATACCAGGTCTGTGCTGGACATTTGCTCTACCTCTACTGGTAAAACAGCCCCCTGCAGTATGCATCGTTACTGTCTCCATTTCCCAGAAGAGCAGACTGAGGCTCAGAGAGATTTGTCCGGGGTCAGTGAGAGGTACTTCTGAGACCAGACCGCCTACAAAAGCCCAGCCACAGTGCCTCCTGCTGGTGATGACAATGGGCCAAAAGCTGCCAAGTCTGGGTTCTCCTTGCAGCTTCACAAGACTTTACCTCCTCATCTGTAAAATGGGTAAGTGAGGAGTCCATTCTCCAGTCTGACCAGCGACCAGCCTCCACAGCTGTTCTGAGGTCCGCAAGAACTGTTGTTATGGAAGCAGCACAGGCCTCGGTTCCAAGATAGCATGTAACCAATGCGACACAAAGGGGCCGAGCCGTGCTAAGTCAGCCAGCCAGGCTCTGTCCGTCTCTCTGCAGGCGCACAGGGGCCAGATTGTTTCCTTTGTTTCACCCGCACAGGCCCAGTAACAAGGCAGCCAGGTGCTCAGCTGTAGACATTTTTTCATTATTTTCCACCCTGTTAACCCCCATCACAAGTCAGGCTGCTGTCAGCCTAAATGAGAACTGAAAAGATTTATCTCACTTGTCCCAGGGCTCAGCTCAAGAAAAAGGCCCTTCATTTCCTAAAGGCCCTGATGACCCTTTCTCTGTGAGTCACTCCCACCCAGGAAAAAAAATGTGACAGCAGTGGCGGGCGGGGACTGGCAACGGGACCATCGGTCCAAACTTGAGACGTCTGAATTGCGGTGTGATTTTCTTTTTCTTTCTTTTTTTTTTCGCACTGTATTCACCTTCCTGATTATGTTTGCTTACACAGGTATTAAACTTAGACCACATTTTATAAATGCGGCCCCAGGAGGGGACCAGAAGCATATTGTGTGGCAAGAGGAAATTAGCCTGTGATTATAGTTTTGCTATAGAAGTAATCCTCAAAGTGAACATCCAAACACTGACCTTGGAGGGATGATTATATTTTAAATCAACTTGTCCCCTTCCTTATGCTCCTAGCAATCCCAGGTCACCAAATCCCTAAAATTGGCATCTGGCAAGAAGAGATGAGCAAGATTATTTTAGTAATAATCATCCTTACATTTGTATAATAATAGCCAGCTTTCACTGAACACATACTAAGTGTCAGGCACTGCTCTCCATGCTACAGATGGGGACAAGAACCCTCTTAATCCTTCCAGCTGCCCTGTGGATATTTCTAGCCCCATTTCACAAGTGAAGAAACTGAGGCACAGAGAGTTTAAGTAACAAGCCCAAAGACACACAGCTAATAAATGATGGAACCCAGATTACGAATGCAAGAATTGAATAACTCTGCACCGAGAGGCCACACCCCAAGCACTTTGCAACAGTGCCTCTTTCCTTCATGGACACCATTTGTCTGACCTTCACACTGTCCCTGGGAAGCAGGTGATCTCAATCCCATTGGATAGACAAAGAGGACGAGGTTCACAGATGCTAAATGATTTGCCCATTTTACAGATGAGGAAACTGAAGTTCACGGAAGTGAGTTCAGTTCAACAAACATTTACAGCCTGTGCCAGGCACTGTGCAAGGAGCTCAGGATACAGAGACGGGGTGCCCTAAAAAGTGAAAACTCCCTTCACACCCAGCTTCTGCACATATCTATATGGGTAAAACCTCTTGATCATGAAATTCCTGTTGCAGAAACTGTTTCTAAGAAAGTAACAGTGGATGTGACAAAGGAGCTCACAGCAGTATCATTTATAAGAGTAAAATAATGGAAATAACCCGAGTGTTCAACAATAAGAGGTTAGTTAAATCAGGATACATCTGTGAAATGAAATACTATGTAATCATTCAAAATGTTATAGAAATATATCTATTGATGTGGGAAAATTTTGTAACAGAGTGTTACATAATTTTTAGGTGACATAAGCAGGTAGGAAAATTACATATGCAGTATGATCTCATTTGGGAAAAATGCATATGTACACCAGAAAATGTGTAAATACTAGCACTCATAGAAAACATTTGCATATGTACATATAAAGAAATTCCTAGAACACCAAAATGATTATCGAGTGATAACATTTCAGGTGATTTTAATTTTTGTGTGTGCTCATCTCCATTTTTCCAAATTTCTCCCAATGAACATGTACTACTTGCCTAGCCATGCAATGGTTTTTATTTTTGTGGCAGTGGTTGCTGAAGTGGCTGAGACCACAAAGGCTTTGCAAGGCATATCTAGGTTCAAACTCAGGGATGGAGTGTCACGTCCAGCCCTCGGTCCCTTGCATCTTTCAACATGCCTGCCCTCCCAGTCCCTTGTCCCCAAACCACATCCCACCCTGGCTGGCATAGTTTTGCCATGGCCAGACTGGGGCAGAGACCTAGGGCAGGTGGGGTGGCTGCTTGCCCACCTTTTTGAAGAGTCTGATGACATCTTCGCTGATCTGGGAGAGGCGGACAATGACGTTGTTCATGAAGATGTCATTGAGGGTGGCGTGGTCTCGGCTCTCCCGCCGGGTCTGATGCAGGACCAGATACCAACAGTTCACAGGTGACAGGAGGTACTGGTCTTTCCTGTGGAAACCAAAACAGCTCAGGTCGACTACATTGGAACTATCATCCACACAGTAGTTTACATTGTCACCCACCTCGGCTCTTTTGACCCTCACGATGCCTCGTCAAGGTTTTATTATGACACATTTTACAGCTGGGGAAACAGAGGCTCTCAAGATGAGGTGATCCTGCAAGGTCACAGAGCAGTCAGGGCTGGAGCCAGACCCAGGTCTTCGCCTCTAAGTCCTATGCCATCTACTTTCCCACCAAATGTGGTGCCTGCTACATGCACCTCTCTGTCCGGGAAGAAGCTGCCTCCCCCGGGGCTAAGAAATACTAAACCAATTTGAAATACTTGTGTGATTTCTAGAACTATGCAGTGGAGAACAAAAAGTAGACACTTTCTCTACCCTCCCCTGCATCTCCCAATCCCTGAAATCCCTTCAGACTCTGAACCCTTTGTTCTCCCCCAGGGATCAGCTTCTGTCTCTTGGAAACATGTGCCTCCACCCCTGGGTGGAGCTGGTAACAGAGGGGTCTGGAGGGTTCAGGTTCTGTATTTGGGAGGAGGGGTTAAGGAAGGCTGGTTTTGAGTAAGGCACATACAGGACAAATAAACCTTTGTTCTACAGTGATGGATAAATTCTTAGCATACCCTAGCTGGGTATTATGCTAAAACAAGGGTTCTCAAAGTGTGCTCCCCAGACTAGTAGCAGCAGCCTCACTCCAGACCTGCTGAGTCAGAAACTCTGGGGCAGGGCCCAGCCATCGGGGTCTTATCAAACCCACCAGGGGATTCTGATGCTCACTCAAGTCTGACGACCACAGGTCCTTACACCACTGTTTCCCGAAGCTTGGGATATTAATAAAACTGGAGAAGATCTGTCTCTTGCCTATACTGTCATTCTGCCTTATCTGCAGTTTTGCTCTTCATGATTTCCATTACCCACAGTTAACTGTGTTCCAAAAATATTAAATGGAAAATTCCAGAAAGAAACAACTCATAAATTTTCAATTGCACGCCATTCTGAGCTGCTTGATGAAATCTCGCACAGTTCTGCTCCATCCCACCAAGGATGTGAATCATCCCACTGTCCAGCATATCCACACCGTCTGTTAGTCACTTAGAAGCCATCTCAGTGATGGATTGACTGTCACAGCATCACAGTGCTGTGTTCAAGTCACCCTTATTTTACTTCATAATGGCCCAAAGCATGACAGTAGTGGTGCTAGCAATTTGGATATGCCAAAGAGAAGCCAAATATATACCAAAGAGCAGTTAATCTCTCACAGTGCCTAATTTATAAATTAAACTTTATCACAGGTATGCATGTATAAATGGGGGAAAATAGTAGATAGGGTTCAGTACTGTATTAGTTCATTCCTGTTCTTTATAATGGAATACCTGAAACTGGGTAAATTATAAAGAACAGAGATTTATTTGGCTCATGATTCTGGGACAGCTGCGTCTGGTGTGGGCCTCAGGCTGCTTCTACTTATGGTGGAAAACACCAGGCAGCCGGCAGTTGCAAGATCACATGGAGAAAGGAAGCAAGAGAGAGAGGGGAGGTGCCAGGCTCCTTTAAGCAACCAGCTCTCAGAACTAATAGAGAGAGAACTCACTCACTACCTCCCCGGCCCCACCCCCCAAGGGCATTAAACTATTCAAGAGGGATCTGCCCCCATGACCCAAGCACCTCCCAACACAGTCAAGTTGAGGATCAGATTTTGACACGAGCTTTGGGGGGACAACACATCCAAACTCTATCAGGTACTATCCAAGGTTTCAGGCATCCACTTCAGATCTTGGAATGCATCCCACATGGATAAGGGAGGCCTACTGTACTTTGCCAAAAACCTCTCAGCCTTAGGAAAAGGACAGTATACCATGTTCCCCAAAGAAAGAGGGAAGGACAATTAAAAACCAAAACCAAAATCAAACCAAGAATCCCATCCTGCCACATGGAGAGTCTGTGCAAGTTCTTGTCCTTCAACCCTGAGAATTTTTCTTACTCCTCTTTCCAGTGTGGAAAGAGTTGTTGGAAAGGCAGGAGGTAAGGGGAGAGGCCCATCCACCACCTGAGGGTGGCTGGCTTCAGGGTCTGCCCCAGGCCTGCCTTGGTCCACCCCCATCCTGAGGGGGGCCACTTCCAGGAGCTGGCTGAGGTCATGCTCTCAGGATGCACAGCCTCCCACTGTGATGGCACCCTCCTCCCCAAAACCCAGTGAAAGTGCTCCAGGGTGCAGCCCTGAGGGTCACTGAGCTGCTGCCTCCCCCACTCCCCAACAGCCACCCTCCTCTCCTACCCTGGGGCTTTGGTGGTGTGTGGGGGCATAGACATGGGGCTGGAGGCAGAAAGACCAGTCAAGAGGTATCTTAGTTCAGGAGAAGAGAGATGGTGAGATCTGGGTGGGGCACTGGGGCCAGAGACACTGGACTTGAGAAACCCTCAACAGGAGAGCATATCATCCTGGAGGCTTCCTGGAAAGGGAGGAGGCAGGAGTGGACGGTGATTCTGAGGTTTGGGTCTCAGGCAACTGAGTGGCTGCTGATGACATGAACTGAGATTGAAACCCTCAACAGGAGAGCATATCATCCTGGAGGCTTCCTGGAAAGGGAGGAGGCAGGAGTAGACGGTGATTCTGAGGTTTGGGTCTCAGGCAACTGAGTGGCTGCTGATGACATGAACTGAGATTAAAACTTCAAGGGGAGAAGAAGGTTAGGGCTGAAAATACTTTATCTGCTTCCCAGGTGGTGATAGAAGTGGTAAGATTAGAGTTAAGGAGAGATGAGATAATTGAGCTGTTACCTAAATTACTTTGGGGGCTTAGCTCAACCTGGGATGTAAGAATTGAACAGCCTCAGGGAATTACATGTGCAAAATGTATGGAATTTACAGCCAGAAGATGAGTTTCAGAGGAAAGGAAAGAGATAAGGGGCTCAGAAGGGGCTCGGAAGTGCTGGGATGGCTTGGAGACCATTAATCAGGTCACCTGGCCAGAGAGACATGATAATAGGAAGGGCAGAAAGGACAGCACTTTCCTCACCTGAAGCCATGGGCTGCAGTGCAGTGCAGTTGAAGACTGAATTGCAGGAGGAGGTAGAATGAGCAGAGGCAAGAGGAGGAAGTTACCCAAACAACCAAGGACTTGTTAAGTTGAAGTGAGCAGATGCCAGGAAGATGAAGGCCTTGGTTCATTCAGGCTTCCATTCATCCTTGTCTCTGTGTGGATGTGTTGGGCACCACTGGGTGTTGGGGATGCACCAGCCACAAGGGCTGGCAAGACCCTGCTCCACAAGCCTTCCGCTTGAGTAGGGGAGATGCACAAGGAAACAGAAAATGATAGCATGGCCTCAACAATATAGTGCGGGAAGGGGACTCTGGAGCAGAGGAGGGCCGTCTCGCCCAGATCTGGTGCTGGGGTGGTCATGGATGGCTCCCTAGAGGAAGTACTTTCTAGGCTGAGAACTAGAAGCTGGGCTGGAGTTTCACAGGGAAGAGCTTTCCAGGTGGAGAAATATGATGATCGAGGGCTCAGAGAGAAGCGGGAGAGGGCATGAATGTAGTTGAGGGGGCCCAAGCATGATGTTCTGGGGTGGGGGTGAGGGTGACAAATGAAGTTGTAGACTTAGGCAGAGACCACATGGCCAGGGGCCTTTAAATCCCATTATAGAATCTGAGTTTCAACCAGAGGTTTGCAGGGAGCCACTGAAAGGCTTAGAGCAAGGGAATGAAAGGGTAAAACTGCATTTTCAAACCCTCACTCTGGCTACTGTGCAGAGGACAGGTTTGAGGGGACCAAGAGAGAAGTTGAGGGAGTCAATTAACACTTAGGTAGGAAATTGATGGTACTTGGAGATTGATTGGATGGGATTGGAGTTGGAAATTGAGAGGTAGGAAAAAGCTGTCTGTGGTGACTCCCCAGCTTTCTGGTTTGGCACCTGGGGGAGCAGAGGCAGCCTTTGCTGAGATGAAGAGGAGCAGGTCAAGGGTGGGTGGGCAGGAAGGATGATGAGTTCAATCGGAACATGATAGTCTAGAGGGCTTGTGGAATGTCCAAATGGAGCTCTCTGGGCTAGAGAGACAAATGTAGAAGCCAGCAGCAAGTAGTCGGATGGTATATGAAGCCACAAAATGACATGGAACACTTTCCAAATACCAGTCACACGGCAGAAGAGGCAAACCCCCAGGAATCCCAGCAAGGCTGGAGCTGAAGGATGCAGCCAGCCAGGCCACTGCAGCTCCTCACCTNAGACAAATGTAGAAGCCAGCAGCAAGTAGTCGGATGGTATATGAAGCCACAAAATGACATGGAACACTTTCCAAATACCAGTCACACGGCAGAAGAGGCAAACCCCCAGGAATCCCAGCAAGGCTGGAGCTGAAGGATGCAGCCAGCCAGGCCACTGCAGCTCCTCACCTGCTGGCTACCTGGAACAGGGCCAGGATGGGGATCGTGTGCCAGCCTGTCCTTCTCGGTAGAGATGCTGTTTGGAATCCCAGCAAGGCTGGAGCTGAAGGATGCAGCCAGCCAGGCCACTGCAGCTCCTCACCTCCTGGCTACCTGGAACAGGGCCAGGATGGGGATCGTGTGCCAGCCTGTCCTTCTCTGTAGAGATGCTGTTCCAAAATGACATGGAACACTTTCCAAATACCAGTCACACGGCAGAAGAGGCAAACCCCCAGGAATCCCAGCAAGGCTGGAGCTGAAGGATGCAGCCAGCCAGGCCACTGCAGCTCCTCACCTGCTGGCTACCTGGAACAGGGCCAGGATGGGGATCGTGTGCCAGCCTGTCCTTCTCGGTAGAGATGCTGTTTCAGGCCTGCCGACCAACCAGGAGGCCCATCCTCTAGGTCTGTCCAGCTCAGAAGATTGCTGGTTCTTCTCTTCCTACATCTCCCAGCCCTGGCTTAGCTCATGTGGAGACTAAAAGGTTGGGGTGAGCTATCAGGAACAGAACTGGCCACTCTGGAAAGCTGGCATCAGTGGCCTTGGTGACAATGGTACTGGGCTCTCAC